GACAGATTTATTATAATCATATTCTTCATAATATAATATATTTCGGAAGACGTTCATATAATCAGCGCAGTTAACAAAATTTCTAGTATTTAAAGTAACACCGTACAATATTTTATCATGATAGTCTGTGATTTATATCTCTTATTGCCTCTATACTTTGTTTATTCGAAGCTAAACTTTTGCATGGAGCACAATTCAATTAATTACTTTATCAAGGTATGAATCCGCTTTTATTTCAAGGCTAGCAAGATTAAATCAGTCATCCATATTAAATTCATGCCAACTATACTGATATGTATTTCAAACATTTAATCATCCACGACAATCTGCAGTAATTTTTCACGAGCATATATATAATATAAATATTATCACACAACAGCTGATCACGTGATTATCTTTTATCCAATCACATCACGAATAAACTAGCTTCACTTTGTCAGATTCTCTTTTATACAGGAAGAACGATTCATTTTTTATTTTGATAATTGCAAAGATTTAAGTCTTGCTTTCACTAATTTAAATACACTTTTACGTACTCTTGTGTCAAGATATTGTTTTTTAGATCAGGTATTTCACATACACTTATACTACTCATTAAAGCTGAAGCATAGCCAATAGCCTGCTGCATTTCTCAACTTTTCCCGAAAAATTCAACATGACAGCATCGCTATTCATATCTTTACTCACATAAATTTGGAGTTCACCAACGTACTCACAATTAAGTAATAAAAAATAAGAGCAAGCCAATATGGCGACATTGAAAAATTTAATTTTAAGTAATTAAATTTATAGCATTTCCTATTCCCACTTCGAATAAATATTTTAAAAAAATATAATGTATACTCTATGAAAAAGAAAACACCAAGGCCGTCGCTCTATACCCGTGCGATCGTTTATACACAAACCCTCGATGCTATGCAGCATACGTCGCCATAAGCTCTGTTTACTTAATCCCTGCACTCGATCGTCGTTTAATTGTCAGGACTTCTGTTTCTTAAATCAATTCAAAAACTTAAAGACTTTAGTCAGTTTTTGTTATTATCTTTATTGAACTTTTTGATGCAATTATACTTCATTTTTTATTTTATCTGCATGAAATTTAAAAACTTAATTTTCGATTCAATAAAACATCTCTCCTTTTAGTTTCAAATATTTAAATTCAATAATCAATCGTTAATGATATATTTTTTCCCTTTGAGACCAATTAACTTTCCTTAATTTTGTTTTCTTATACATTTCTCAGTTTTTTCAATTTTTATTCTCAGTTATTATAGTTATTTTTCACTTAACACACTTTTACACCACTGATAAAGAATGTATCCGAAGAAATTTCGTTTTAAATAATGACAACTTGTTTTTTTTAAGCTTCCTATTCAAAGTCTTGTTATATGTTAGACGTATTCAAGAATGTAACGCTATTCTCTGCCGACGACTCCGCTTGTAGCTATGAGCGCGTTGATTTCGGCTTTATTTTGACGAATGTTGCAAGACGCAATCTCATTTCCTATATGAAAAGCTTTTCGAAAAAATTCTATTCGACAGATTTTATCTCAATAGATTGCAACCACGTCTCGAACTATGCTCGGCCACCATGTAAGATTTATAATCTTTTTATTAATAATAATAGCTTGGGATGGAAGACTAATAATTAGAAAAATAACTTTTTACACGACACGTGTGTGTGTGTGTGTGTGTGTGTGTGTGTGCGCGTGCGGGCGCGCGTGTGTATGGGTGTGCGTGCGTGCGTGATTTGATTCGGTAGATATTACAGTACCATTCAAATGCGTCAATTCAAAAACTTGTAATATATATATATATATAATCATTAGATATACTTAAAAATTTCTATTTATTTATTTTTTCTTTTATTTACTCAAAGTTTATTTACAATCTGTCTCTTAAATTGGAAAAATAAGTAAATGTGATTATTATCACAATAAGTTAACATTCAGCATAGATATTCAGCAAAATACTCTTGTGAGTATCCTGTTTTTATTTTTAGCTTATATGTATTTGAGATAGATTTTAATTTATTTATATCTTTATGAATTTGTATTTTTTGAGTCTAGTGAAAGTGATCATTGTCTTAATAAGTTTTATGATAAGTTCATTTGGATGGTTTTGCAATTTGCTGTTGTAATTTTCGTAAAACGTTTTGATATCTTCTTTTATTGATGGTATCTATAAATAGTTTCGGGTTATGTCGTTTGTGATGAACTACGGGGCCCGTACAATGTTACATAGGATTTTCGATTGAAATATTTCCAGGATTTTAATATTCAAGTTTGAATCAGCACCCCATAGTTGAATGTTATAGATCTAAATTAGTTTAATTATTCTTTGTAGAGCAGTATTTTATTTTCATTTGTAAGCTCTAATTTTCCTCTAATAAGCCAGTAAATTTTCCTTCATTTCAGTCCCAGTTTCTTACGTTATCTAAATATGTGCTTTTTCCACGTAAGCCTCTGGTCTAGGTAAATTCCCAAATACTTGAAATTTCTGCTTTGTGGTATGTGTTTGTCATTGAGTTTAATAGGTGGACAGGTATCTTTTCTATGTGTAAAAGTCATATGTGTTGATTTACTTTCATTTACTTTAATGAAATTGTTGGATTTTCCATGAGTTTCGCCAGTTTTGAAGATAATTATTTTTATAATTTTGTATTATTTCTGTTGCTACTATTGCCTCCGAATATGACATGTTACAAAACCATGAAAATGGCTGCGTCGTCTGTGTATGTTGCTGTTATGATATTTGGAAACCAATGCGAAAACAGCCCGACACAAATAACATTTTATTAAAAAAAATGATCACATCTCACGTATGTATAATTGTACTTCTCGAAAAAATAATTATTTGTTATTGTACCATTATATTTCTCCTAAAAAATAAAAAATATCGTTATCGATAATTCACCTCCTATTTATTCACATAAAAGACATAATTAAGCAAAAATAAATTCACAGAAAAATTGTACCTTCTGTAGTCTAAATTGTACCATCAGTACAGTTCTATAAATTTGTTTCTAAAAGAAATAATAGGACAATTACAAAGCTCTACGCCTGCGCAAAGTGCATTTCCGGATGACATCCTTGTAAGTTGTAACAATTAGTGGTAATTTTTAATTGTCCTATCATTTCTTTTAGAAACAAATTTATAGAATTGTACTGATGGTACAATTTAGACTACAGGAGGTACAATTTTTCTGTGAATTTATTTTTGCTTAATTATGTCTTTTATGTGAATAAATAACAATTATTATCGATAACGATGTTTTTTATTTTTTCTCAGAAATATAATGGTACAATAACAAATAATTATTTTTTCGAGAAGTACAATTAGACATACGTGAGATGTGATCATTTTTTTTTATAAAATGTTATTTGTGTCGAGCTGTTTTCGCATCGGTTATTTGGAAACAAATGGATTGAAAGGGAGTCCTACACAGTTTCTCAAGGATTTAAGCCGGGCATACTATACTACAATTTATATAGCCAAATTTGTAAAATTCATTTCAACTCTCCGCGTTCACTTGCATAACATTCTAACCTCGTAATCCTTGAAATATTAGTAATCGTTGCTTTCGTTTTCGAAGAACAGTGGCTTACCTTTCTTATCCAATAAATCTCGAACCTAACTCGTACAAATTCTGATAACTAGGATGATACTAAAAGCTATAGCATCGTGAAATATTAATAACATATACGCATTTACTGACGCACTTTCAAGGAAGAAGAAATCTAATCCGTATAAAATCAACCTATTCGCCAGCGAAGTTCTATCCACAGCGCGCTATTCACGTCGAATGAAAAGCCTTACGGGAGCATAAAAGCGACTCGTTCAGTAAAAAAAGCCATATGTGCGTGCTAGAAAAAGAGTATAAATGAGATCAGTCGTAATTACTCTTACTGTGGAGAGTTTTCAATTTTTTTATAAATGAGTGTGTGTGAAGGATCTACTCTGTCTTAACAATTAACAAACGCGCGCGACACCTTATAATAAACACGGAAGCCGTGTTCAGAAGAGATGGAGGCTCTCTCCTCTTTCTCTTCCGCTTCGGGCATCTTCTTTATCTGACGGCGTTATGCTGCTTTCACCAATGCCAATTTTTCGAAAGAGCGAGAGAGAGAGAGAGAGAGAGAGAGAGAGAGAGAGAGAGATGCATATACGACTTACGCTAGCATTTATTTTATTCTATTCAGGCAATGGAATTCAATTTTGAATGATTTGCGCTTTTTTCGAGCAATATAGCTTTATTGTAATCGAAAAGAACTAAATTTTGCTATTATCAGCTTAAGTTATGAGCTAATAACTATAAAGTTGTTTGGAAACCTATCACGTATAAATTATGCGAGTTGTAAAAGTGTTTAAATCGACGTACAAAAATTTGCTTGACCAAAAAGTAATATAAGCAAGCATCGTTTTTTGTTTGTTACAGTAGCTCTATGGAAGGATGTATCAGCTTGTTAAATGGATGTATTAATAAACTCCATCGATTCATAATAAATTAATTTTAGCAAGCTTTGCAAGAAGCAAAAACACATAAAATTGTAATTAAAATCTCTTGAATTGATATGTCGATAATGGTTTCGGCAATGGCAAGAGAAAAAATAATGTGGCGATATCGATCGTTAATATAATCATCAAGGTAAAATGCATTAACCTTGCACGCGGCAGCGCAATACTTGCGTAAATCATTGTGGCATCTGTACAAAAGCTAACTTCTCAGTCAATTAAGCATCGCGGCAATCTCAGCCGATCTTAACACACCAAGTCGCAATTAGGCCATTAGCACAACCAGGCATGTAGGCAGCGCAAAACTCGGGGTGCGAGATAGAGAAAAAAAAATCACACGGTGGCCGCGCGACCTTTAAACTCTCTCTCACTCTCTCTCTCTCCTCCCACCCAACGATGCATCTATATAGTATAAATTTTCCCCTCGATGCGCGAGCGACGCTGCGTGCTGCTGTACCGCTGGCGCCTCTCTTCTCTCACTGGCCGCACGACAGTTGGACGCCGGTCGCGTAGCCAGGATGGCCGGAGGTTCGTCGTTGTTGTCGCCTTGTATACAGTACCAGTTGAACCATTACAACAGCTGTCGTGTCACTGTAACAAGTGTATTTGTTTAGTCATTCGTCGCCGTATTTGAGATTGCAAGTGCACAAGACTGAGAGTGTAAATTGAAAAAAAAATAGTAAAAGCAAATCGAGAGTAGTGCACATAACCTTCAAATAGGAAGCAGTAAGAGAGAAAGAGGTACAGAAGAAATGAGAAAGAGAGAGTTGTTGTGTTACGACGACGACCACGGCTGCGCATTTACTTAGAGGTTAGGTTTGATTCCCGGACAACTACTTCTCTCGCCCACGAAAACATCCTCTTCGACGTGTGGACTTCTCCAAGATTCAAGGCCGCAACACTGCTATATACATTCACTGTGCGCTACTCTGAGGATGCTGCTACTAACATGGTGAGTGTCTCTCTTTCTCTCTTTGCTTGTGTGTGAGTTCTGTAGCGTCTGCAAATGTGCGTTGCGCGTGTGTGTATGTATGCGCATATATACGCGCAGATGAATTCTTTTTTTTAGACTCGAGTGGGTTCGCGATGCTCTCTCTCTCGCCTTTGTGAATTTTTTTCTCCGCGTAAAAGAGATTAGGGGAGATTAGAGGGCCAGCTGCTGCTGGCTGCTGCTGGGCGGCGAGATGTGTTTTCTTTTTTATTCTGTACCACCCAGCTTTTGCTTGGCACAAGTGCACTTGTGAATATACGTGTATGAATATTTTGTTTTGAATTACTCCCATGAAAACATCGAAGAAAAGTGTGTGTGCGCCGTTGACTTCTACAATGATAATCTTGTAGTTAGATCGTAAATAAAAATAAAGTACATGTCAAGGATTTGATATTTTGAATCGAGAAAGCGTAGTGTCTGCAGTTTTAACAACTAAAAATAAACGGCATAAAGTGAAATAGTAACACTGAGCAACCATTGATTCACGTGATCTACTGCTTCCTCCATCACAATACATTTTACGTTTTATAAATAACAACTGTTCCGTGCTAATTCCGAAGCAATGAAAACAGTTCGATAATGTAAATATAGCACCTCGTTAGATAATCAGTATTTTTGAAAATGTCAATGTTTGAATAAATTTAGTGGATCGTCGAATGATATCTCTATTAAAAGTATCACGTTTACACAGTAGGGAAAACAGTCGAGATAAGGCATTGAAGCAAATATTGAAGCAATGAAAATCATTCGGCGTAAAGTTTTCCAATCGAAAAGTCACGTGCCGAAGGCAACTACGAATAAGTAATAGTTTGATAAAAACGCAATTCAGCGTACGACTCAAGATTGCATGCATCGAGATAATTGCCGCATAAATGCTCTATCGAAACTGAAAAAAGTATCAGCTATCGAGTTTATCAGAAATCGATCGTTCATTAGTCCACGTGGCTCGGCGGTACACACACAACGACATTGTAAAACTAGTCATAAATCCAGCGAGGAGAAAAACAGCTAATTCAATAGTCAGAATCGAGGAACTGCCGACGATTATTCATAAAAGCGATAATCCACGAGAAACAATGATGTTAAACCAGCGTATAAACATCGACGTTTCAATCAGTGACCATTGATTAATCCAATTTCTGCAAGTACACAAGGTTTGCCATTCACTCGCGTAGCCCGGAAAGAGAGAGAAAGAAAAAAATAAACAAGTGCTCGCGACGCGATAACGGCACACGCACATACAAACACGCAGCTGTATTTATTACGTCACTTGATGGCTCCGCTGCATTAGGTATGCACAAGACACGCACTCGCGAGCGAGAAATAATTGAGTCTACGATACTGGCAGTCGTTATAAACAATGCGTGTCGCTTTCATAAATTTTCACAGTTCGTTCGTATCCACGTTCATTGACCTACTTATGCTTCTGCTGCCGATGGATTTATTTGTCAAAGCGTGCATGTGTAACATTACACCCAATATAGATTGGGTAAAGTGCGAGTGACGCTCATTAAATAATTCGCCCGTGTGAAGTGTTTATGACCTGGTATGAATTACCCACAGGTTATAGCCTTTTTTCTTATTACTCGGCTTTTTAATGTTGTATGATAATTTTGTCTTACACAACTAGGTCTTTGTGAAATAATTAATAAAGATTTAATTAAAGTCGATTGTTATTTTGTAATTTAATTGGCTTTTCTCGTATCTCAATTGCGAGATAAACCATATACCCATTTTTTGCAACAATTTGTAGTTATTATTCATTGGTATATGAGCGACGTTATTGACTTTCAATAATGTGCTGTAATTACATATCTACACTCTGAGAAATATGTGAAATAAATATTCTACTGTAAATTATACATTAAATGAATTATCCAATAATGCCATTGCTACTGTTTATGTATTTCCGATATTACTTACTATTGATAGTACTTATTATTGTATTTAATAATTCAGCTAGATTTCTTAATTTAAGAAGTAAAATGTGAAGTGTTGATTAAAATGTAACATTTACAGAAATATCATATTTATTTCATATTGTTCAGGCAGAATTTCCTAGCATTCTAAACAAGAATTTGCATTCGCTATTCCATTTGTTTAGGCAAAAGTTTATTTTGCTAAAAATTTGAATTGCGTAGTATAAATTAATAGAACTATCTCATATTTCTCGTGAACAAGCTGTGACATTTTTTATTACGATGCGTCCCTACGTGCGACTCGTTGAGTGTGGTTGAAGGAGATAAATTGTAGGGAAAGCTTAATGCAAATTTACAGAAAGATGAAAAAATAGAAAATAGGAACATTCTAATGGATGTGAAATATGAGATTGTAAAGATATCCTTCCAGCTGAACACTTGGGGACGATTTATCTTTTTTCCACTGATAATAGTTTGACACATTCTCTGCGACTGTCGTCTTCATGCTTGAAAAAATATTTTTGTGGGGGTGCATCATATACATGGAGAACTATTTTTGAATTTATAACACATTGAAAATGTATTTTTTGTTTCGTTTTGAAACGAACTTTGCATTTTAGATACACTTACTATTAATACTAAATTATAGATTCATGCTGCGTTTCATTATTCACTTCATTATCAATTCAACATTTAAAATCGGAAGTACGTGCTTGGAAAAAGAAATTGCTAGACTGTTTTTACTTCGGTGTTTTGGTTTCTTTTTTCCTTACCGTAGAAAAGTTTTTCTTGCGACATTAAAGTTTATGATTGGGTTATCTTCAAGAATATCGTTAGAACTATACTTGCAAAAATATGATAAAAAAATGTAATGAAAAGAAAATTCGTACAAAGGTAAAAGAGAACAAACTTTTATAAGAATGAAAAATAACGTTGAGTTCACATATTTTTAAGTCTTAAATAACAAGTTCAAATGACGGAGTTATGAGCGAGAAATACGCCGGTCTTAACTTTTACTTGCTACTTTCGGTGACTTCAGCCATAAATTTATCTCATGAAATTTTCGCAGTTCTCTCCTCTCTGATACACAAAACTTTGATAGTTTTGCATTTCGCAATTTTCACGAGTATTGGAGAAATTTATTAAAAGTAGAGCTAAGAGAACGCCGAGCAAAAACTCTTGTGAACTCGGAGGAAAATTGCTCAAAGGATAATACATAATTAACTTTTAGAAAGATAAACATCGAATAATTACGTTGTGTACCTCCTTTTTTTTTCTATTTTCTGGAAAATTAGAGCACCCAATTATTTCGATGTTTCAGCTCTGCTGTGATGTCTATTACTCGATTATAGTTGTTTTTAAAATTAGTTTTCTGAAAAGGATTACATTTTTTTGCGTTATTCGCAAAGTCGAGCTGTAATATGGAACGGTAATATCGGAAAGCTTTTACACGGAAAAAGATATTTAATCTGCTTATCTAATTAGCAGTTGAATCTAGATGGAATTTCCAATTAAAAGATTAATAACAGAAGAAGTTATATTTTTACAAATCATGATAACCAAATTCTTTCAAAACAAACTTCTTTAAAATAATTTTTTGTGGAAAAAATAATATTGCTGATATTCCTGAAAAAAACAGTACTTATATTCTTGAGTTGAATGTTCTTAATTACGGTCGAGTTATGCATTCATTCCGCTAATAGAATTTTCTTATCTGACGACTACTGTAATGAGTTTTACAGCAGTGCCAACTTTTCTTTTTACATCAAGAAAACTTGGTAAAATATAAAAAACAAAAAAGAATAATGGCTGTAAAATCAATCTCGATTGCAAATGAAAACTGTCAACAGCCTTTGCATACTTTTAGTTTGCAAATTCATCACTAATTCTTCTCAAATAGCTCAACATCGCCAGTCAATCATTCAATTAATTAGCATCATTCTACTTCCTAAATCAGCGCCGAGTGCACAAAAGATCTTTTATACGTGTCATCGAGTGTCGATTAATTAGCCGCAATTGTTGCTTCTTCTCAACCCTCAACAAACCACCACGATGCGGAAGCCCACCTCATTAACCCATTCACTGCGTAATCACTAGCTCCGGATTCGAAAGGAAAAAAAAATGGAGCGAGCGGGCGAGCAAGCGTGAGAGAGAGAGAGAGAGAGAGAGAGGGAGAGAGTGAGTGAGAGAGAGAGGGAGAGAGAGAGAGAGAGAGAGAGAGAGAGAGGGAGAGAGAGAGAGACGTTCAAATATACCCATCAGGCTGATGAAGAGAGGTGGAACGTGCCGTCGTTCGGCTTTTGTAGTGCGCGAACTCGAGAACAAGAAACTGACCGGTGAAAAACACAAAAAGCCCTCGGCATCATTAGTTGATTGCGGTCCAAGGTCGCTGATTGAATTGCACTTTTCCGTTGTGCTTCGTTCTCTTCTTTACGCAGGTATAGAAGCGACAGAACCTCCGAACTAATGATGTCCACGCCGCTTTTACTCGCAGGTAGATACAGCCATGCTACTGCTACTGCTACACTGCTGCTGGTGCTGCTGGTGCTGCTGTTTGACTTTCGATTGTTCTTTCGATGAAAGTTTATTAGCTATCGAGCAAAGGGCAACTTCTTATATTAACTTTGTTGGTTGGTCGTGTGTACTTTTTTTTTCTCTGTAGATTCATTAGTTTGCTCGTTAGCTTTTCTCCTTTCATCTACAAAATAATTATTTTCCGCGAATGAGAGCAGAGAGAGAGAGAGAGAGAGAGAGAGAGAGAGAGAGAGACGCTTATCCGGCAAATATTTTTTTTCCCGTGCCGTGGTGGAAAGCTACGTGATTCGTAGTTTTCTTTGTTTGAGTCTCAAGTTTGTTTTTACTCGTTAATGATGTTTGGTAGAGAAAGAACTTGGCGATTACCTGATGTTATATCGTCTTACTGTGTAAACCTTACTGGTTTCTACGTTCGTTGCAAGGAATCTCTATGTCTGTCGTTTTTTTTAATCAGTGCTTGAGTTGCTTCATAAGCTACTTTTTACTGTCGTACTTATCTTTTAGAAG